TTCCACCTTCTTTTGTCCATGTGCTGATGCTCACAGATCATTGCCTCTGCAGAGTTCTCTGGCGCATGTCTGCGGTAGTCCATGCACCGCAGAGCATGTTTCTTTGAGCATCACTATGCGGACAAAAAGACAAGAAGTAGAACAATAAGCGCCCAAAGCCCCGACTCAATGAAGGGCCCTGCCCGCAAGCTGATGAGTACCAGGGGCTCGCAAACCCTGATCCTTGAGCCCTCAGCCAAAAAGACAGAAGCCCTACGTTTTCGTCCATCCTCGTGAACATTGAAAACTTGAAAAGTTCTGGAGTGTGTTCCACGCCTCCACGCAGTGCGACCTGGTCCAGCCCTGCCGGAATGCCCAGAATCACCGGAGAAGCCCTGACCCCTACGCTCTGTTGCTGAGGCCACCAAAGCCATGGAGGTCGCCGAGTCGAAGACCGAGAAGCTGGAGGCTTCGCAGGCCGAGGGGGATTTGAGGTTTAAAGTTTGCGTCGGGGTTCAACTGGGGTTTACGGTTTAGGGGAGGGAAGGGAGCAGTTGTTTTTGGGCATTTTGAAGGTTTCGGGCTGTGACAGCTTAATACAGCTTAAGGGCGATAATGCTCCTCACCCTGTCCTGCCTTCTACTTGCTTGCCTGCCTGCCTGCTTTCGCACTGATACCTTTGCGGTTGCAACAACAAATCAGTAGAACTGGATCGTATATGAAGGCGGACCAAAGATTGCCGTCATAGCAACTGCTGTCACAGCAAGTTGGAGCATGCTCAGCAGGATTACACGGCAAGATAGTGTTCTTTTCGATAGACGGAGATAGGTTCTGCTTAAATGCTTCCCGTTCATGTTAAGACATCTCGGAGACTTGACGCTTTGCGGACTCTCGCCACCCCGAAGCACACCAGCCTCAAGCCCGACCTCGCCAATCCTCTTGTTGCGTCTTCTTGCAGGCTGTGAAGAGGGCGTCGGCTCGCCTTCAGGCGGCCATGTTCACCAGCCAGCGAAAATGAGCTTCTGACAATCTCTCGTGACGAGCTGTGTAAAAGTGATACTTCTAGCTCCAAACAAAAGACGGGGAGATGCAGTGTGGCCTGAGCGGTTGGATCAGGCGGGTTGGGAAATCAGGCTTCACAAGAAACAAAGCAGGGCTAGATAAACAGCTTTTCACGGCACGGTTTGGAGTGAGCAGCGGTGATTGGTCCAGGTATGTCCAAGTGATTCGGGTATTTGATCGTAGTTGCGAAGAAGGGTTGGATTTTTCTGACAAGGAATTACTGTCAGAGAGATTGTCAGAACAGGTTCAGCTGTAGCCTTGCAAAGCCACATGCAGGCTCAACTGCTTTAAGGCATCCTGGCGACGTGAGAGCATGCCCTGTGCAAGCTCTCGGGAGCTTCGGCTTCCAGCCATGCAGAGGAAAAATCAAGTGAGAGTGAGATCTCCGTATTTTGTTGCAGCTTGCAAGCATCTCCGAGCTGTGCTGAGCAGTGCTGGAGCACTGTCTCGGAGGTACACATATGGTGCATCGTCTCTGCCCGTGGAGAACGCCTCGGTTCCAGAACAGGCGTTTCTCCACGAACACGGCGACTGGGTGAAGGCAGAGTTGTCGCGTTTGCGCGTATATTTCGGTGAGAGGGCCGAACTTTCCCAAGTGAGCTCCTTGTCGTCCGTGCGGTGAGCCCGCAGGAGTCTTGCTTGAGTGTGCGAGTGCCAACTGTTGTCCCGAGCCCGAAAGGCCTCAATGTAAATCCCAACAGTGTAGAGTGTAGACAGCGTAGAGCGACGCTGTGCCTGCATAACGGCCCAACTTAATCCTTGCATCCCACTTTGGGCGTAGCTCTTAACCTGCTATGCAACACAACGTAAACAATACAGGCCTGGCAAGCAAGGCCGTCGCTTGCAGAATGACATCTTCATGCTACGCGGACGTACCTTCCTGTAGGGGAAGGCTTGCAGATGGTAGGAGGTGGGTGCTAGCCCCAAATTCTAGACTGGACTATCTCGACCCTGGCCCTAAACCATTGCACCCTTGCTCTAAACGCTGAACCCTTGATATGGCGACAAGAATCAGAGCCTTGCCGTTGGAGGCCCCTATGTCACGAAGAAGCGTGGCCCACATTGCTGGAGCCTCTGGCTGTCTTGGCTTAGGAATTGGAGACGGGCCTGAACCCCTGAGACCTTCAACGAGCAGACCCGAATCACCTTCTCACTGCAAGCATGGGAACGGGAGTTTGGGAAAACAAGGGTACCAGGTTAAGGGGCCCTACTTAAGCATCTACGCTCCCATTTTCCAAGACTTCCAATGTGCCCGAGTGAAGGATCTCGTTAGGGGAGTGCGATAGCACGGCCGTGATAAATGACCTAAACATAGAATTCGCGTGTTTCGATGCAAACCACCGAAACGCGTGCCACGGAACAACCCTGAACTTCAATACCATAGTCTGAGCCTACCATCCTCAACATGGGCTGCCAGAAGAGCAAGGAAAGCAGAAGAAGACGCGTTGCACAACTGCATGCTGCTCCGGAGGTCATAACCTTGGAGGATTTCACAAAATACGAGTACAGGGTACAGCCGCAGCCCCAATTCCACTTTGACTCTTCGTCATGTCCGGTGGAGATTGCTTCAGCCCTCTGATAACTAATCTGTTCGTTGCCGGGTGGTTTGAGCTCTTCTTGAGTAGGGTCGGTCAAGGGGGTTGGCAGCCAGGCCTAGACGCTTGCACGAGCCTCTTGTTCTGGAGCTTTGTGGGGCTGCGGCCATAGCGCATATGTGCCGAAAGGGTTGCCACATGTTGTCAAGTGAGAGGGTTTCAGTAACCATCCAAGACCTTGACTTCAATTCCTATGCCCTCGAACTTCGTTCAGGCTTGGCATGAAGACAGGCGACTGCTGCGAACCAAGGAACAAGCAAAAGTTGTGTCGAGATCTCTATGGTGATGGCTCTTCGCACCGAACCGCAGGCATCAACGGAAGACTCATCAAACCTAAACTGGCCTTACCCTCAAAGGCGAAGTGCGAAACCCTCAACCCTGAACCCCAAACTCTGATAAACCCATCCAAGGCTTGAGCATAAATCCTAAACCCTAAATTCCTAACCCAGCTAGCTCGACCAGTTGGGCAGACATAAAAAGGAGCTCAACAAAAAAATCCTAACCCATAAGCCCGAACACCAGGCCGGTCATCTACCCGCTCCTGTCCCTCTGCAGCCAGGCTCGGGCCCAAGCTTCTCGCAGAGACAGCCCAAGCCAAGTATCCGTATTTAGTGTTGTCTAAACTAAGCATGTATCTATTACAGTACAGAAAACAGAAAACATCGGCGAAGGGTTCCTCATTGGAGGTTCCCGTCGGTTAGTATAGATTCGTCCATGTTTTACATAAATTTGTTTAATTCTATATTAGTTAAGCGCGTTCTGTTTATATCTTATATATAAAATTAAAGCGGGGGCAGGCTGATCGGGGAAATTTGCGCGCGGATAAAAGCACCGGTGGCAGCGAGGTTTGAGGCATTTAGGGTGTCCAAAAAGTGGCTTGCACGACGTGTTTTCCGAGGGATTATGCGTTTGTATCACGATCCCTCGTGAAGAGCGATGTGTCGTGGAGGTGAGGTGACTGGTACTGTGGCGCCGTTGCTGTAGTGTTTTGGCGTCGATCAGGACCCATCGTAAAAAATAGAGCACGTTAGTCGTTGGACGGTTTTTGGAGTTTGCCACCCTTCACAGGCGCGCAACTTCCGTCTTCAGGAAGTCATGGGATGACATGCGCAGAAAGTCATTTTGCCTAGGCGCGGCGAGGATTTTGGCTTTGGACCTGAAAATCGCGCCGGTGCTTGGGGAAATGTTTTTGGGTGTGGCAGCCGGAATTCGAGCTTCAATGCAAATGGAGTTTCGTTGATGTCATGTGCAGGATTCCTTGGTGTTTGCGATGTACAGGGCACTTCGGGTTTCTGGGGATGCTCGAATTTCGTGGGCCTCTGCGGGTATCCTGCGTGTCGCGCTCTTGCTCTAAAGAAAGGCAAGAGGTGTCCGCGCCATACTAACGGAGGTATCGTCCACTTCGATGATTCTTTCATGGCCCGACAAAGCTCAAAATTCGGAATCCTTGCGATAGGACAAGCGTGTCGGATCTCGCTGCGCCGTTTCTTACGAGTGATCGTGAGTTTGGATGTGTTTTTCATGGTCCACAAGGCTCCAAGACAGCCGAAATTCGCGACCCCTACCAGTTGAGTTGTCGATGCTTCTGTTTCAAAGGGCTACGTTGTGTTCGCATCGCTTCTTACGAGGGTTTCTGCACGATTCTGCAACCTTCATCGAGCATCACTGTTCTGTTCCCAGTAGTCTGCCTAGTGCCAGGTTTTGCAAATAGCCTGAAAGACAGATGCCGAGAGCCAAATATCAATGAAGGCGTATTCTTTGGATAACAGCACCGCCCTCAGGTCTCTGGGGTTTTGGCATTGTTTTGCTGGGCCTTCTTCAAGAGTCCGTTGGCCTCAGCCTGAGTCAGGAGTGGAGGTTCGGGGGGGTCTAGGACACATCTCGACAGGCTGGCACTTTGATGAGGGCTTTTTGTTTGGGCTTCGCATATTGAGCTGTTCGGCGCAGGCAGCCGTGGCAGTCGTAGCTTTGCAGCAGTTGGGACGGGCGTGTCAGCTTGTCTGGTGATTGGATATGGCAAAAAAGTGCAGGGTCACGGAACGGATGGGACAGCTCTCTTCAACCAAAAACTGGACAGTGGAAATACCAAGATATGGCTCGAGGGTTTAAGGTTTTAGTATCTTTCACATTCTGCATGCTCTTCCAAAATCCCTAACCCGGACGTCCCCAGCTCAACACTACTGCCATTTCCTCGCAGTGAAAGTACGGGAAGCAAGCCACTTGGTCAGTGAAGGTCGTCCCGCTGTGACTAGCAAATCCGGTCCACTATCAGCATCCAGCGAGCCAAACCCTCAACCCTTAAGCCGCGACACTAGCCTCCAAGCCCCGCAGACGCAGACTCGTGCCGAATTGGGCACGCCTGCCATGGACACTGCCGTGGACGACATCGCAGAGGAGGAGGGTGGCATCGACGAGGATCGGGCGCAGAACCGTGCCGCTCGTTCGTTGGAGGCACGATGGCGGTGGGAGTCACTGCTGGAGGATGGGGCCATCGGAAGAGCCCCGCCGCCGGCGGCAAGGCCGGCAGCCCCAAAGATGGCAGCGCCAGTTTCTGAGGCCGAAGAGACTGCTTTGCGCCGTGGCGTCATCCGCTATGTGTACTTGGCCGTAGACATGACGGCCACGGCTGCACGTACCGACATCCGGCCACGACGTTTGGATTTCCTTTGCCAAGCTGCAACCCGCTTTTCGGCGCGGTTCCTTGCAGAGAATCCGCTATCCGAGATTGGGCTGCTAGTCCTCCGTGATGGCAAATGCCAGGCCCTCGCACCTCTGGGTACGGCGCCGGCCACGCTGCGAAGCTGCCTGGCAACGGCGGCACAAGAGGGTCCTTCCGGCCGCACAGCGGCCGTTGCAGCGCTGCAGCGCGCTGCAGAAGGGCTGGGCGGGGCACCACCCCATGGCTCGCGCGAGCTCTTAATGCTTTTCACATCGGTCTCCACCTGCAACCTGCAGGATTTGAGTATGGAGGACGTGGGGCGAACGCTGCGAGAACGCAAAGTCCAGGTTTCGGTCGTTTCCCTCAGCCCGGAGATCTACATGCTGAAGCGGGTCTGCGTCGATACCTTTGGGCGCTTTGATGTCGCAATGAACACGAAGCACTTCGAGGACCTCCTCAGCTCCCACCTCTCTGCGCCCGCCTGCACCGCCGGACAGTTGGCACCGAAGCTCGTTCGCATGGGTTTCCCAAAGATGTTGCGGCCGGAGGCAAAAAAGCAGCCAGAAACCTGTACTTGCCACCTCGAAGTGCACGGAACTTTGTATGTTTGCCCTCGATGTTCTGCTCGGAGCTGCGGCCTGCCCAGCCGCTGCAAAATCTGCGACCTTCCTCTGGTGTCGGCCAGTGTGCTTGCGAGGGCCTTCAGGAGTGTGGTACCGCTGCCGGCCTTTTCCGAAGGTCTGCCGGCAACTTCCTGCGGAGCTTGCCTTCTGCCTATCCACTCGTCAGGGCGCCAGTGTCCCAGTTGCAAAGCCAGCTTTTGCCAGGCCTGTGATGACTTTATGCACACCACGCTTCGGCAATGCCCAAGCTGTCTTGCCCATGGCGGCGCAGCGAGACTTAGCCGGGAGTAGCAGAGAAAAAGCCAAGTGGTTTCTGCGCCAGTTGGAACGTACTGTGGGATGCAGCATGTGAGGTGGCTCGGTCTGCGGTTTGGTGCTGGTTGCTGCCGTGGGTTTGACAACGGCACTTAGTTGCAGTGGCTAGATGGATAGCTTGTCCTGCCATGTGTGAGAGAGTCGAGACCCTGAAGCCCGCAATGAGCCCTAAGGCCCCACAAGGCTCAAAGCCGGAACATGAAATCCTCAAAGGCAGGTCGGCGAATGGTCGGCCTTCCCCAGCCAAAGAGTGAGGATGAGGTTCAGAACTCAGAACATGCTACATGAAAGCTGCCACGAGAATTCCTGGCTTTACTTCGAGGTTCAAGTTACTTGTATACAGCATACTGATTCATCATAGGTTCGTGTGAGTTGGGGTTCTTTGTATCGAGAGATCGAATGCTGTTCCATGCTTGGCCCTGCCAGGGTGACGTCGAGGGGCCGCCCAGAGCCTTGGCCCCAGATCCTGCGAAGATTTCGAGAAAGGCAGCGATGGCGTGAGGGACGCCAGACGGTCTTCAGGCATCCCATCCCGCATAGTGCATTTGGCTTTGCCGAGTGGTGACAGAGTCCTTCTCTAGACTCTAGAGCCTGTTCCCACGTAGTGTGTGCCGAGGGCCGCCAGCAGGTCGCGACAACAACACATGCTGGCGCGCAATACAGGAGCCAGTGCTGGCGTGTCTCTCCCACGCCACGAAACTTGGGCCTTCACCTTCTCAGTACGGTTTAGGGTTTCGGAGGAGAGGGCTTAGGGCCCAGACGTCCGGCCCCAGCCCGTGACTCAAAAAAAGGGCTTATAGGGCCTTCAGCTTCAAACCGTCACCTGATGGAAGTGGGTGGTTTGGAGGGAGACGCTGAGAGTCCCCAGGTCTGGAGGCTGAAGGTGTAAGGCACGAGCACCTGCAATAGAGACTGCCAGGATGGTTTGGGAGATGCTTTAGCTTGTGGGCCTCTTCTCGCGTTTCTGATTTCTGACCAGCACACCTGCGGGTATTGGCATCGGCGGCGGCGTCGACTTATCATCCAACCTGGACCCCTATAGGAGTTTCCGAAAATGGGGGACCCGAATATAGTACCCTAAATACTAGGATGCTTATTGTAAGGACCCCCAAATAAGGTGCCCCGATTTTCGGAAACTCCCCTATCGCTTTCAGCCGCATCCGTCCCCGAATCAGGAGTATTGTCGGGGAGGACGGCGAGGACAGGGCCTTCCGTGCGAGCTCGCGGATCTTTCGGAGATACCACGCGTTCCGTGAGCGTCCGCCGCGGCTAATTCCGTGATAGTCCGAATAAGCCGAGAAGCAACCTCCTGGAATTGAAAGACTCCGACAGGACGAGGAACAGCAGTCGTTGCTGGAGGATCGGTTTCTTTGAGCTGTTTTGGTGTCGGGTTGGGGATTGAGGTTCAAAGTTCGGAGGTCCTTACGGTGGAAAAAGAGTCCCCCAAGGCTGAAAGCAAATAACCGATAACATGGACACAGGACTCCCGATTCCAGGGTGGTTCAAGGGAGACGACATGGTACACTGTCATCGGCATCGGGGATGGTTTTCATGGAGAGGTTCAGACTGCAGTATGCAGCTCTCTCCGGCTCCCCTGGCTCACAGCTGCTTCGAGAGCTCATGTCATGTAGCTTCTCAGATTCAGGAAGGCCGTCGTCTTTGTTCAGGAAGAAGCCTGTCAGGAGGCCGTAGGCTGCCATTTTTTCGCAGCGGCCTGGAAAATAGCGCCTTCGCCATGGATAAATAAATATGGTACTTTGGTTTGCTTGCCTTGAATCGGGGACCTAGCACCCATGGCGGTGGAGACGGAGCGGAGATGGCGCAATATCCTCACCTCGCAGATGATCCCAGAGGCCTGCGGCGAGGGGAAGCTTTCGGAGCCCTCCACAGCACGGGCGGCCGCCTCGTCGCCGGAGCTGCTCGCCGCGAGCAGCTGCATCCTGGCCATCGACATGGACTGCTTTTACGCTCAGTGCGAGGAGATCCGACACCCGCATCTGAAAGGGAGGCCCGTGGGCGTGCAGCAGAAGATGCTGGTCATCACGTCCAACTATGCAGCGAGGGCCTGTGGCATCAAGAAGGGTGACTCCTTGCAGGTGGTCCGAGAGAAGTGCCCCGAGATCACCATCTGCAACGGTGAGGACCTAACCTTCTACGGGGAGCTGTCGCAGCGGGCCTTCGATGTTGCAGCACGCTGGAGCTCGAAAGTGGAGAAGCTGGGCCTGGACGAAGTCTTCGTGGACGTCACGGAGCTCGTCGCCGAGCGCTTGAAAGCTCTGGAGGATCCCGAAACTTGCCTACGCCTCTGCTCCACGGGTCATGAGTACCCCAAAGAGCTGGAGAGCGGTAGCAGCGGTAGCAGCGGTAGCGGTAGCAGCGAAGTGCGGGAGGTTCGGCAGGCGGACTGGAAGGACTTGGATGACGCTCATCGCTGCTGGGCTCGCCTGGCCCTTGCTTCGGACATTTGCCGAGAGATCCGCGAGGCCATGCTTTCCGAGATTGGGCTCACATCCTCTGCCGGCATCAGCGTGTCCAAACAGCTTGCAAAGATGGTGTCTTCCTGGAAGAAGCCCAGCCAGCAGACACTGTTTCTGCCAACGGCCGATCGTTTGGGACATCTTCTGCCAGATGATTTGGCCGTGCAGAAGGTCCCTGGTATTGGCTTCGCCTCAACCCAAAAGCTGCACGAGCTGGGTGTTCGCACGACAGGAGAGGTGCTATCTGCTGTGGTGCCCGAGGGCGAGGAGTACGGGAGGCTGCTTACGGAGTTCGATGCCGGGACATTGCGGACCATGAAAGCGCTCTGCTGGGGCATCGATGCATCACCAGTGAAAGCCTCTGGTGCACCAAAGACCTGCTCGGTGCAGGATTCCTTCTGGCAGGGGCCTGTTCGCACAGATGCGCAGGTTAGAGAAAACCTCCTGGCCCTTGCACAGAAGTTGATCACCAAGATCCGCAGTGACGAGCGCATGTATGGATATCGTCCAATCCCCACCTTCTCATTAAGCTTGATGCATGCCCCCAGTTCGGAGGGGGGTGGCGCACGTAGGGGTCGGAAGCAGATGCAGCTGGGCAGCTTCCAAATTGCACGACAGCCCGGAGAGAAGGGCGACGATGAGCGTCTGCAGGGTCAGATTGCAGATCGAGCCTTCGCCCTCTTCCGCAAACTGGTTCCTGCCGAGGAGCCCTTCGTTCTGCACATCCTGAACTTGCAGGTTGGCTTCGGCGAAGCACTGGGCGCGCAGCGCCGCCTCAGCTTCGGGGCTTCTGCCCCCACTGCGTCTGCGGCGCAGCCTCAGGCCCAAATAGAGGGCATCGAGCTGACGGACAGCGACGGGGACGCGGAGGCAGGGGGGAACCAGACTCCCACAGTGAACACGGAGCGGTCTGATGCCGTGGCGACGCTGGTTTCGATGGGTTTCGCAGAGGATCGTGCCCAGCAGGCTCTGGTGCAGTGCGGCGATGTATCACGGGCTGTTGAGATGCTGCTGGCTGGTGGGTCCTCGAGCTCCCTAACACGCCTGCCACATCGCGATGTGAGCCGAGCCGAGAAGCGGCAAAGACTGAACTGCCCCGCACCAGAAGCGAGTAGCGCCATCATCGACTTGCTGGATTAGCCTCGCATGCGTCAGAGCGTTACATGGAGCACGCAATGGTCTTCTTGTGCCTTGCACGCTTGTAGGAAAATGTGTCCAATACCTCCCCCGCCAGAAGCCCTGAACTCCGCACCCAACAGTTTCGAGGGGGAGAATGTAACACTATGAAACTCTCGCGCCTCTCACACGCCCGCACGCACATTTTTTCCTCAACGCCGTACTGGTTTCTGCTGGTTGATGAGACTGACTGATTGTTTCGGAGATTCGATTAGACCCTGCAAGTCCGCGAGAGTTCCAGAACGATGCGAAGGCCTAGGGAACCGGAATATTACACTTGATCATCCCAAATCGAGAATAATATCAAGACGCCTATATACTGCCCTATACTATCTATACCTCCGCACACCGAAAGCCCGCAATTTTCTAATTCAATGCCGCAGGTCGAGGCCCGATCGCCCGGCATGTTGCAGGCAGGACCCATAAACGCACAGATTGGCATTCCCTCTTCCTGGCGTCTTAAGGATCCTGTTCTTTGGGGGTCCTAGGGCACCAGAGATGATGCTCGCGCGGTTGAAGATTGTGACGAGGAGCTTTTGCAGCTATTACCCTGTCTCATATGAGATGTCGTTTTAGTGCATTCCGTGTACATATGTCATGTTTCGATACCTCACATATTTTCTTGCTGTATCTGGTTAGGCATTCTATACCATGTTGTACGTATGTTTGCATATTGTGGATGTTTCGAAATATTGTGTGATGCCCTAGCGTCGAGCACTTCTGCATATTCGGGGGTAAAAACAGAGGTGCCCTAAATGGTGAGAAGAAGAAGCACAACAGTAATGCCACCCCACTGCACCACCAACCAACAACAACGACAGCGACAAAACGACAACGACAGAGAGAAACAACGAGGATGGCGATAGCGATAGAAAAAGCCCAACAGCGGTAGCACTGAAACATCCCCACTGCTTTTTGATGCAGGCCGGCACCGAGGGCGAAGGGCTCTGACTCAGCGCACGGCGGCCGAAAAAACATCGGGCGGTTGTGGACTTTAGAACTTTTGGGCCTATCAGGTCTTCGTATTTTGTGGTTAAGTTTTCCTGTTGAGGGATAAATTAACTTTGAGGGTTTAAGGGGGTCTGGGATGAAGCAGTGGGTGGTTTTGGAGGCGTCTTTCCTTCTGAGCAGAACTGTCGAGCATCGAGGTCCATAAGTATAACTAGCTCAGGTATGCGGCGGCGGTGAGGATTAGTCGCATTCGGACGGCAGGCGATCGATTCGTCTAGTTGCTGCTGGCCTGTTCGCAGATCCCAACTTAGCACGAAAGCGCACCTGGGGCACTCAACTTCCACACTATTTACGCAGCGGCTAGCCTCAGAT